CTTGACAGAGTTTGGATCATCAACAAGGTCTTGACTATTCAGCTTGTATTTTATTTTCTGATTTTTTTTTGCCAATATGTAAGGCAGAGCATTTATTTGTTGAGATTTGAAGTTGCCATTTGTTTGACCATTCTGATACATAGTCGAGGTCTTTTTGAATTGATGGGAAGTGATCAGCAGACATGACGATTCAAGTAAATCATCAAGTGAATATAAACATTGCATCTTGTTTTAAGCTGTTTTTGTCTTTATACACTTGAAGATTTGTCTTTCCAAATTCATTTCAGGTGTGTCGCACTGCCCAACACAATGTAGCCAAAGTGACTACTGGTAGTCCTCGACTTAGGATCACAATTGAGTCCCAAATTTTTGTTGCTAAGTGAGACATTTGTTAAGTGAATTTTGCCCCATTTTACGACATTTCTTGCCACCGTTGTTAAGTGAATCGCTGCAAGTATTAAATTAGCAAACCAGTTGTTAAGTGAATCTGGCCTTCCCATTGACCTTGCTTGTCACCCTGGGACACTGCAACGGACATAATTGTGAATCAGTTGCCAAGCATTTGAATTTTGATCATATGACCATGGAGATGTTGCAATGGTCATAAATGTGAAAAATGGTCATAAGTCACTTTTTTCAGTGCCCTTGTAACTTCAAACGGTCACTAAATGAACTGTTGTAACTTATAGATTACCTGTAATTACCATTTTAAAATCATAACGCTAGTTAAAAAGTCAGTGTTTTGAAAGTGAGGGAAAATAGTAAAACAACTAAAATGTTCAAATGGTAAATAAAATCAACATGATGTTATAGTGCAGTGATCCCCAACCTTTTTTACGCCGCGGCCCGGTACCGGCATCAGCTGGGCGCCGCGGCCCGGTACCGGCATCAGCTGGGCGCCGCCATCTTTTTTTGATGAAAACGTGCTTCCGGTGAGCTTTCTACCCAGAAAAGCTCACCGGAAGCGCTGGTGCCGCCATCTTTCTTTGATGAAAACGTGCTTCCGGTGAGCTTTCTACCCGGAAAAGCTCACTGGAAGCACTTTTTCATCAAAAAAAGATGGCGGCGCCCAGCAAGCCAGTGGCCCGGTAGGACTTGTTCCGCGGACCGGTACCGGTCTGCGGACCGGTGGTTGGGGACCCCTGTTATAGTGGACCATAAAAAAACAGAAACATCTCCAAATAAAATTGATACCTATAATCTACCTATAAACTTTTGCGGAAAAGTTTCTAATTTTGCCTTTGCAAAATCTGCAGAATTTCCTTCTTAGCTTACAGGTCTATGGAGATTCTCAGTCATTCCAGGTCATGGTTGTCCTAAGGGTGCTTTTTTCAGGAGGCAACTGGACTTTCTTTGAAGATGTTTCGCTTCTCATGCAAGAAGCTTCTTCAGCTCTGACGGGATAGTGAGGAATGGAAAGATTTATATTCCTTGCAGACAGCTGGTCATTTGCATCTTTTAGAAGGTTGTTAAGGCCACTTGGAGGTTTATCTGTGTCCTCAGGGTCACCTGAGTGGTACAAAATGGTTCCTGTAGTCTGCAATTTTTCCTCTGGAAATCCATTCCTACTCCCACACCATTCCAAGGGTATTCATCCCAAATTGTATAGCTAAAAGTCTGTAGAGATTCTCCAGTCATCCAGGTCATGGTTGTCCCAAAGGTGTTTTTTCAGGAGGCAACTAGACTTCCTTGTTTTGTCTTTGAAGATGTTTTGCTTCTCATCAAAGCAGCTTCTTCAGTTCTGACTGGATGGTGGGGAATGGAATATAAAGGAATATAAATCCTTCCATTCCCCACCATCCAGTCAGAGCTGAAGAAGCTCCTTTGATGAGAAGCAAAACGTCTTCAAAGACAAAACAAAGTCCAGTTGCCTCCTGAAAAAGCACCTTTGCGTCCTTCTGAGATTGACTTTTTTTTAGCCCACATCCGGTCCATAGCTTAAGCCATGAATACCTTCCCTGGAATTTGAGAAGCAGAAATTGGTATAAGTTTCGTTTGCCGATTGATGGTACCCACACAATCCCTGATATGCTTTTATCAGCATCTTGAGGTTTAGAGAGCCAAAGAGAAACCATTCTCGGTATCCCTTTAACGTGGCTGGCTGGTTTAATTCTGGGAGTTGAACTCCATACATCTTCCATGTTGCCCAAGTTGAGAAATACTGACTTATGTAAACCAGAAAGATAGAAGTATTCCTTAGTCCTTTTTCCTTTTACTGACCGGGGACAGAGAGCCGCAGCAGAGGGATGAAAGAGCCACATGTGGCTCCAGAGCCACAGGTTGCTGACCCCTGACCCAAACCTTTAGTTCATTGCAACTTCCTGTTTTGGGAACTTACTAATTAAGAAGGAGTCCTTCTTATGCAAGTCATTCGACAAAGTAGACCACAACCTACTTCTTAGTAAGCTAGAAAAAAGTGGAATAGATGGCACCACCACTAGATGGACTTGCAACTGGCTGACAAACTGTACTCAATGAGTAGTCCTTAATGGGTCTAAGTCTACATGGAGGGAAATAAGCAAAGGGGTGCCACAACGTTCTGTCTTAGGCCCAGTACTCTTCAATATCTTCATTAACGACTTAGATGAGGGAATAGAAGGGGAACTTACAAAATTTGCAGATGATACTAAGCTGGCAGGAATAGCTAACACCCAAGAATATAGGCTCAAGATCCAGATGGATCTTGACAGACTAGAACACTGGTCCGTATCTAACAAAATGAAATTCAATATAGAGAAAAGTAAAGTCCTACACTTAGGCATGAAAAGACAAAAGTATACATATAGACTGGGTGAAGCCAGGTCAATAGCAATAACTGTGAGAGGGATCTTGGAGTCTTAGTGGACAACCAGCTAAATATGAGCCAGCAGTGTGCAGCAGCAGCCAAAAAAGCTAATGCAGTCCTAAATTGTATTAACAGAGGGATACAATCGAGATCAAGTGAGGTACTAATACCAGTCTATAAAACCTTAGTAAGGCCACACCTGAAGTATTACATCCAGTTTTGGTCACCACATTATAAAAAAGATGTTGAGACTCTAGAAAAAGTGCAGAGAAGAACAACCAGGATGATTAGGGGACTGGAGACTAAAACATATGAAGAACGGTTACAGGAACTGGTCTTGGCTAGTCTAGTAAAGAGAAGGACCAGGAGAGACATGATAGCAGTCTTCCAATATTTGAGGGGCTGCCACATAGAGGAAGGGGTCAAGCTATTCTCCAAAGCGCCTGTAGGCCAGACAAGGAATAATGGGTGGAAACTGAACAAGGAGAGATTTAACCTGGAGATAAGGAACAGAACAATCAATCAATTGAACAGCTTGCTCTCGGAAGTTGTGGGAGCTTCTTCACTGGAGGCTTTCAGTAAGAAATTGGACTGCCATTTGTCAGAAATGGTGTAGGGTCTCCTGCTTGGGAGGAGGGTTGGACTAGATGACCTATAAGGTTCCTTCCAACTTTGATTATCTGTTATCATTAGCTGTGCACCATGTAAACCCCCAAAAAGCACTATGAACTTCAAATCCTTCCTAAGGTTCAAGTCCTTCCTAAGATTCTCGGTTATTTTTCTTCCTTCAGGGTCGTGTGTCCTTTGAGGAGGTGGCGGTTTATTTCTCCAAGGAGGAGTGGTCTCAATTGGATTCTCACCAGAAAGCCCTACATGGGGAAGTGATGCTGGAGAATTCCAGGAACGTAGCTTTTCTGGGTAAGAATCTTTGCTGGACTGTCAAATACTTTGAGGAGACATTTTGTGGTGGAGTATAACTTACTGATACCCAATCATACTTCATCCCTTCTGTGGGTGAAAGGGAACCTGTTCCAGGTAAAGGAAGAGTTAAATAGATCTCTCTCTAATTATGTTCTGTGATGATGTCTCTTCTCATGGGTGGTGTAGTTAGTTCTTAGACTTATATACTGCTTCATAGTGCTTTACAGCCCTCTCTAAGCGGTTTACAGAATCAACATACCACCCCAAACAATCTGGGTCCTTATTTTACTGACCTCAGAAAGATGGAAGGCTGAGTCAACCTTGAGCCAGTGAGGATCGAACTTCTGGCAGTGAACTGAGTTAGCTTGTTAATAGTAAAAGCTTCTTTCCTTTCCCTTTTATCCCGCTGACCCTTGCTCAGTTTGAATGGATAAGAAAAATTAATAAATTGAAATATTGGCCACAAGTACATTCTTATCAAAGTTCCGGCTAACAAGCCCAAGCAAATCAGAACTCCAAGGCGGGAATCTTCCTTAAAGAATGTCTTTATTGGGTACATCATATCGGCATGCTTAAATGCAAAACCAACTCTAAATATTCCCCAGGGTTTCAGTATAATTAAAATAGTAAACGACCCCCTCCCCAAGTATCACTGGTAACATTGTCCAATTGAGTTAATTGACGGGCTCCTTAGGCATTTCTCTCCTTCATCTGACACCTGTGGAGATGACCTTGGTTCCCACGAGATAGATCTGTGTTGTGTCTGGCAATGTATTCCAACCTTCTCCTTTCCATACGGTGTAGCAACTGAGAACCATGAAAATGGCGTCAACCCTGTTCGGTTCAAAGTTGACAGTTCCTTTATTTCAGAATTATTTCACGTTTCCTTCTGCTCCTAAAATAGAAACCATATGGCGTGGTTTTTGTTCAAACAGATTTGATTATAGCCTCCATCAGAAATCCATGTTTGATCGATCTTTGCTCAGGTTATTTTATATTAATCAACACCGTAACTTTTCAAAAGCTCAGAGAGTCTGTCCAATTTTCAGCAAGCAAGTCATAATAACAACCTCACTTTGGTTTTATTTCCTTTCCATAGTCTTCCCTAATTCTAATTCTTTGTTTTCCTCTCAAGGAAGTGATGGCCAAAATGAAGTGATTTGGAACAGAGAAAGGAAAGAGGAGTTTAGAAATTGGACGGAGTCCAGAATTCCTGAGAAGAACAAATCAATACCTAGGAATAAGAAACCAACATCCAAATGTGTGCAGAATGAAAATACTCTTGCCCACCAAAATCCCAAAGCAAAACTAAGGACAAAGGGTTTAGGCAAAAGTGTGAAAGTACCAAAAGACCCTTTACATTTGGATATGCGCAACAGAACCAACGTTAGAGAAGACCAAAATGGGTACAGGGAGAATGAAAACAGTTTGAGCTGGAGAGTCAAAATGGGAGAGAAGCCCTATAAATGCATGGAGTGTGGAAAAGGTTTCAGCAAGAACAGCTCCCTTACCTGCCACAAAAGGATCCACACAGGGGAGAAACCCTATAAATGCATGGACTGTGGGAAGAGCTTCAGCAAGAGCAATCACCTCCTTTCTCATAAAAGGATCCACACAGGGGAGAAACCCTACAAATGTACTGACTGTGGAAAGAGTTTCAGGTGGAGCAGTCAGCTGACTTCCCATAAAAGGATCCATTCGGGTGTGATACCCTACAAATGCACGGAGTGTGGAAAGAGCTTCCGGGAAAATGGATCCCTTACTTCACACAAGAGAATCCACACAGGGGAGAAGCCATATAATTGCATCGAATGTGGGAAAATATTTCGGAAAAGCAGTTCGCTTACTTCCCACCAAAGGATCCACACAGGGGAAAAACCTTACAAATGTACAGACTGCGGAAAGAGCTTTAGTCAAAGCAGTAACCTCATTTCGCATAAAAGGAGCCATTCGGGGGAAAAACCTTATAAGTGTGTGGAATGTGGAAAGAGTTTCATGTGGAACAGTCAGCTGACATCTCATAAAAGCATCCATACAGGGGAAAAACCCTATAAATGCGCCGACTGCGGGAAGAGCTTCAGCAACAGCAGTCACCTGATTTCCCACAGAAGGATCCACTCGGGGGAGAAACCATATAAATGTCTGGAGTGTGGGAAGAGCTTCCGCGAAAATGGGTCTCTGACTTCCCACAAAAGGATCCACATAGAAGAAAAACCACGTCAATGTGTGGAATGCGGGAAAATGTTTCAGAGGAAAAGTTCTTTTGTTTCCCATAAATGTACCCGTACCGAAGAAAAACCCTATAAATGTCTGGACTGTGGGAAAATATTCCGAAAAAGCAGCTTCCTTATTTCCCATAAAAGAATCCACACAGGGGAAAAACCATTTAAATGCCTGGAGTGTGGAAAGAGCTTCCGCGAAAATGGATCTCTGACTTCCCATAAAAGGATCCACTCAGGTGAGAAGCCCTATAAATGCACGGAGTGTGGGAAGAGCTTTTGGAGGAGCAGTTCCCTTTGTTCGCACAGAAGAATCCACACGGGGGAAAAGCCTTACAAATGCACCGAGTGTGGAAAAAGCTTCAGTGAGAATGGATCGCTGACATCCCATAAAAGGATCCACACAGGGGAGAAACCTTACAAATGCCCAGAGTGTGGAAAAAGATTCAATACTAGCAGTAATCTTTCCTCCCATCGAAGGATCCACTCTGAGGAGAAACACTATAAATGCGTGGAGTGTGGAAAAAGCTTTACTCAGAGTGCTTGCCTTATTTCTCACAAGAGAATCCACAGAGGGCAGAAACCGTATAAATGTGTGGAGTGTGGGAAAAGTTTCAGATGGAGCAGTCACCTTACTTCCCATAAAAGGATCCACACGGGGGAGAAGCCATATAAGTGCCAGGAATGTGGGAAAATATTCCGGATAAGCAGTTCCCTAACTTCCCACAAACGGATCCATACTGGGGAGAAACCATATCAGTGCAAGGATTGTGGAAAGAGCTTCCGAGAAAATGGATCCCTCACGGTTCATAAAAGGATCCACACAGGGGAGAAACCCTATAAATGCACCGAGTGTGGGAAAAGCTTCCGAAAGAGCAGTAACCTTACTTCCCACATAAGGATCCACTCATGTGAGAATCTATAAAAATACTAAATTCACTGTATTCCTTCTATGTATATTTGAACCATAAAACTAGGTTGATCCTGAGTGTCTGTGGAGATTCCCAGTCATCCAGGACATCCAAAGGCAACTGGACTTTCTTTGTTTTTCTTTGAAGACGTTTCACTTCTCATCCAAGAATCTTCATCAGTTCAGAAGTTCTTTCTTCAAGAAAAAGAACAAAGACCAGTTCTCTTTTGAAAGAAAACACCTTTCGCGTTGATCCTGAGTGCTGAATTTTATCTACCTTAATCCCTTCCCAAAATTTTTCCTTTGTTTATTATGTTTTTGCTTTTTTTTAGTCATCCCTTTTGTTGTTACTCATCTTTAATCCAGCCATAATCCTTTCTGATTGCACAGAAGCAGTATGAGCAGTCCTAATTTGGAGGTTTCCCTGCAAATCTTGGGTACTTGAGCCACCAGATGACCAGGCAGTCAAATACTGTCTATCTGCCAATTGGTCTGTTATCATGGGGAATCAGAGGAGAGATGGCCTTACTGTCAGCCATCTTGGATTCCCTCACAGCCTTGTCAAATTCTTTAAGGCCTTTTGTCTGCCCCTAGCCTGTCTTTCCTCGGCCCTAGAGGGTTTTTTAGGGGCTAGGGCCCTGGCTCTAATTCTAGCTGCTTTGTGCTGGAAAAAAAGAGAAAATCATCCTGCATTGATAATAATTCACCACATTATAAAAAAAAATGTTGAAGCTCTAGAAAAAGTACAGAGAAGAGCAACCAAGATGATTAGGGGACTGGAGGCTAAAACATATGATGAATGGTTATAGGAACCGGGCTTGGCTAGTCTAGTGAAGAGAAGGACCAGGGGAGACATGATAGCAGTCTTCCAATATCTCAGGGGCTGCCACAGAGAGGAGAAGGTCAAGCTGTTTTGCAAGGCTGTTTTGCAAGACAAAGAATAATGGATGGAAACTTATTAAGGAGAAATTCAATCTAGAAGTAAGGAGAAATTTTCTGACAGTAGGAGCAATCAACCCATGGAACAGAAGTTGCCTTTGGAAGTTGTGGGAGCTTCATCACTGGAGGCTTTCAAGAAGAGACTGGACTATCATTTGTCAGAAATGGTGTAGGGTCTCCTGCTTGGATGGGGGGTTGGACTAGATGACCTATAAGGTCCCTCCCAACTCTGTTAATCTGTTAATTAAGAGAGCGGTTTAACTCAAGCTTGTTTGTGCCTTAAATTTCCAATAATTTCCTTTTTGTGTGTGTTTGTCTCAAGCAGGGGATCCCCAAGAGAATGAACCTGATCAGGAGGTGGTTGTACCAACATTAAAAACGCTCAAGAATGAACTGAGAAAAGAGACATTGAGAAATCAGTGAGGACCCTGAAATAAAATTAGGAAAACCTCAAGAACGTGTAGAAGAAATCGTTTGGGAGTCTTTTCCTAACATGCTACATTTCTGGAATCCTGAATGGTGAACAGAATTAGGAAAGGAGAATCACAATTGCTCAGTACTTCTTCATAGCGAAGGAGAATAGTTGTACTGTAACTGCAATAGCATTGATGATGTTGCCTAGTTTGGGTAATGAAACGTCTACAACAAAGCAAGCTCAGAGAGCACCAAGGACCCCTCACATCATCATAGTGCTATATAGTTATCGTACAAATTGTAAATTGATTTGGTGTTTTTCATTACAAACTGTATATTTAGATCATGTCTCTTATGAAATATATTTGTCTGAAATAAGGAAAGGATATGCATGAAAGATGGAGTGCGTAAGACCCGTGTAGAGCAATCCATAAAGTCAGAAGGGGTTGTCTGAAAGATTTCAGGGTTGTCATGCAGTTTGTGGAAAATGAAAATCTCTGAGAAAACACAAAGGAAAGATGGAGGCAATGGGTGGAAACTAATCAAGGAGAGAAGCCACCTAGACCTAAGTAGAAATTTCCTGTCGGAACAACCAGTGGAACAACTTGCCATCAGAAGTTGTGGGTGCTTCATCCCTGGTGGTTTTGAAGAAGAGATTGGACAACCATTGGTTTCCTTCCTGAGCAGGGTATTGGACTAGAACAGTGGTCGCCGACCAGTGGGCTGGGAACCACTGGTGGTCTGCAAGAAAATTTTGGTGGTCCGCAGAGAAATGTCACCCCCAAAGCACCCCCCAAAGCAATCCAGGCTGTGCAGGAACACAAGGCTTGCGCTGCTTGCATTGCGAACAACACGAGGTAGTGAGGGGAGGGGGCAAAGGGCAGAGGGGGACACTTTCCCCACATGCCTCGCCTGGCCACCGGGCAGCTGATGCTTCTGCTTTTGGCTGCACGCAAGGAAAGCAGCAAAAGTCTCTTTCTCTCCCCCAAATTCCACCAGAAATGAGTCTTTGGGACCCTGCAAGGCATCCTGCTCCAAGACACTGCGCCAGTGCAACAAGTGTCACAAAGACTCATTTCTGGTGGAGTTTGGGAGAGAAAAAGAAAGACCTCTGCTGCTTTCCTTGCATGAAGCCAAAAGTCTCTCTCTCTCTCTCTCCTTCTCTCTCTCTCTCCCCTTGAGAACGGAGCTGGAGATGGTATCCTGCGATCCCAAATAAAGAATGATCAATCAGTAGGAAAACAGGGTGGGGAATTTTCCTGCAGAGTTTTTGGGGGATTTTCCTAGGACCTCTGGTCCGCGGGATTTAAAATTATGAGTTTGGTGGTCCCTGAGGTCCAAGAGGTTGGCGTCCCCTGGACTAGAAAGACCTCCAAGATTTCTCCCAACTCTTGTTATTCTGTGAAAGGTGATTCAGGAGACAAAAAGATGGTACAGTGGTTAAAGACAGCAGGCTAGAAACTGGATGTGCCCATGATTTCTAGACCCAACTTGGACACAAAGCCAACTGGAGCATCTAGGCCGGACACACACACTGAGCCTTAGGAAGGAAGCAATGGCAAACCACTTCTGGAAAATCTTGCCAAGAAAATTGCAGGGAATTTGTCCAGGCAGTCTCTGAGAATTGGATATGTGTCAAGGTTCCAAGTAACACACCCATAACACACAGAACTCTGAGGCAGGTAGATTCCTCAAAGAACAGTTTTATTGGATATATTATATTGGCACAGATTGGTGAAAACTGACTCTAAAGGTTCCTATGGTTTTCACCTAATTAAAAGTTTTCCCCTCTTTCCAGTCACATGGTCCAATCAGGGTGCTGTCCATCACTCCTCCTCTCTTCAATCACGTTAGGATGTCCTTGGTTCCCAGGGGAAAATATTTTGTTTTGGCTATAAACCCCCAGCTATCTCTATTTCCCCCCCGCCCCAACCCTCATCTCCATTGTGGCAACCCTGAAGCCTCCAAGATTGAACAGAAGTAAAAAATGGAGACGTATAAGTAAATGCATATACTGAAAAATGTGAGGAGATGCAAAAGATGTCTTGGTGTTGATAACAATGTATAAAGTTTTATGTTTTTAAAATTTGGAAACTTAATAAAATTTATTTTTAAAAAATGGAGGCGTATCAAGAGATGTGAAAAGAGGACGATGCTGGGGACTCCCCATTTTTTGGAGAATATAAAAATGGAAGGGATTTATAGTACTTAGAGCCATAATATAGAACAAGATACTGAATGAGGTACTGAGTGTAGTAGGCATTTGCCTCTATTCTTCTGAACTTCAGTTCTTTCCTTCTTGGAAACTCCTGGCTGTTGAGCATCCACTTTCTAACAATCGGGACTGTGTTTGCTTACTATGCCTTTTGTCTCTCTCAGTGAAATGAAGTCTGTGTCATTTAGTGACTCTCGTACTAACTATATCAATTCGTTAGCAGAGATGGCAACGTGAATTCCCCCTATTCCTCCTTAAGAATTAGGAAGGAGTGGGTGGGATTTGGGTAAGTGGCTATTCCAAATGTGGAAGAGAGACTATGATTAAGCTGATTGTTGAGAAAATAGCTGAACATGTTTCCTTTTTTTACACAGCTCACAACAGACTTGATGTCGTAGTCACAGTAGTCAATCAGAAGCAGTGGTGGTATTCTACAGATTTGGCCCAGTTTTGCCGAGCCAGTATTGACAATGAGCAGCGCAGACCAAACCGGGCTCTCATACTAACCTTTATTCCCTGCTTTTGAAATGCAGCTGCTTTGCGCGGCACAGCAGATTGCCGCGCATCAGCTGCTGAAGTGACAGGGAGATTGCAGGATTGCAGGAGGTGAGCCAGAAAACCTCTGTGACTTCTCAAAATGTGCATTTCACTTTCTTTCGCTGCTTCCGACTCTTCTTTGGGAGCGATGTTATTTCTTGTAAAATTTAAATTCCAGGGTACCTTAGTTGTTGCTTTTTCAACTTAACCCGGTCAGCCAAAACTTTCACTTCTTATCTTCCTCCTGCACATTCTTTTCCGGTTGAGTTCTTCTTTGAGGTGGCCATTTCTGACCACCGCTCCTACCGCCTTCAGGAAAGGGAGTAATGGCTAGCTGAGGAGGAGAGATGCGGCTCTCCTCGACCTTGCTGGCGGTCTCCCCCCTCTTCACCACCTCTACGGGGTGGCTTAGCCCCGAAACCAGCCGGCTGGGGGCGTTCCAGCGGCGAGCCCAGGCAGAAACCGCGGACGATCGCGGATTCCTGTCTGTTGCCGAAGCCCTTCAAACCGGAAGTCCCAGAATATACTATTTTGACTCTTATTTGGAGTAAGGAATCTATCTCAGCTTTCCTGTTTGAAGGAAATGAAAGGGCATCTTTCATTTTTCAAAGACTTGAGTGGCTTTGGGTGCATTGGTGCTTTGAGATTTGGGTCGTTGACATCTTTAGTTCTGGACAGGGTTGTACCACCGTGTTCAGACCCAGTTTGCAACTTAGGGATTCTCCTGGACTCACGATTCCTGCTCAATGAGCAGGTAGCAGGTGTTGTTAGAAGAGCCTTTGCACAAGTTCAATTTCTGCACCAGCTTTCCTGAATCAAGACTCCCTGCACTCAGTCACTCATGCCCTGGTCATCTCACATCTGGACTACAACAATACGCTCTACATGGGGCCACCCTTGAAGAGCATTCAGAAGTTTCAACTGGTGCAGAGCGGCCGCACGGGCAGTCTTTGGAGCCCCTAGAATGACCATGTTACACCACTGTTCTGCGACTGCACTGGCTGCCAATCTGCTTCCGGGTGCAGTTCAAGCAGTGGTGGGATTCAAAAAGTTTTACCACTGGTTCGGTGGATGTGGCTTGGTGGGCGCACCTTGCATACATGCACACACTGCGCGCACACCAAACTCCCGAGGCTCCAGTGGCTTGCCTCGAACCTCTGGGAGGGTGAAAATAGCCTCTCCCGGGATCTAGACGCCCTCCGGAGACTGAAAACAGGCACTTCCGGTATTTCTGGAAGGCTCGTTTTTCGGCCTCCCGAGGCTGCAAAGGCTTTCTTCAAGCCTCTGGGAGCGCGAAAAAGCCCTCAAAATGGCCAAAAATCAGCTGGGAGGCATGCACAGGTGCAATACAGGTAAGGTGGTGGGGGTGTTGCACATCCATGCACAGGGGGATGAGGCGCATTGCATTATGGGTGCTGGCACACATGCTATCGTGTGTACGCATGCTTTCGGCACACCACAACAAAAAGGTTCTCCATCACTACCCTAAGAGGAAATGTAATTATCTGTAGGAATGTATGTATGTTCAATACGTGAACAAGAGGGCTGCAATCCTTTTCTGAAAGTGTTCTAAAGTTGTGTGCCACCGATGAATTATGTTGAGTTATGTATCTGTTTTCATCTTCTCTAGGGTTCTTGTGAAGGAGTCATCTCAGTGCGTTTTGTCTTAATGTCTTTGGTCTGTAATTATTTTGTTGTCACAGTTTGTCCATAAGGTATATCATTAAATCATTTAATAAAAGTGATCGGTATTATGTCTTTGTGTCTCATCCTTGAGCTCTTGAAGATGGATTATAAAATATGACAAATGAATAAAGTTAAGTTTTTATAAAAGAAATCAACTTTTCTTAATCCTACTTCATCCTTTCTAATTATACAGTAGTTTCCTGCAAATTGGTTTTCTTAACCCGGTGTGGTGTGTATCTATTTAGGAAAATGAATTTTAAGAGGATAAACTAGAGACTAGGAAATAGATTTCTATGCATTGTGAGAAATGCAGTTTACTGGCAACCTTTGACTTACAACCACAATTAAACCCCAAATTCCAGTTGTTAAGTTGGATATTTGTTAAGTGAGCTTTGTCCTATTGTATGGCTTTTCTTGCCAGAGTTGTTATGTGAATCACTGGGGTTCTAACATGGTTGTTAAATGTATCTGGCTGTCAACTCATGAAATATTTCTATGGTCTATAGTTGCCAACAGAAAGGTAGGAGGGAGCAGTGCAGCTGCTTACAAACTGAAACTGCATTCCATAAATGTTTTCAAAGATAGTAACTAGGTGACCGAAGTTTCTGCCGTGCAAAATTCTAACTGGAGAGTATGATTGATGACTCTTGGCTATGGATGTGTCCCATTGGAGAATATGAATTACAATACACCCAGGGGGTGGGGTCAAGCGTGACAATGAATTATGTGTCTCAGAGTCGGCTACACCCAGGCAGTGCTGCCATGTTAACTCCCAATAAATCCTTTTGAAGTTTCAGAAGTTTGGCTCGAGACTCATGATTTAAATGGGGGTAACTGCCGGAGCCGTGACACTGGCTTCCACATTGACTTTGCTTATCAGAATGTTGCGAAAGGGGATCACATGACCCTGGGACACAGCAAAGGTCATAAATATGTGACAATTGCCAAGGGGGGCATCACACCTACCATAATAACCAAGACGCCCATCATGTATGCTACCTCATTCTCCATGATAACTGAATTACCGTATTACAATTCCCAGTCCCTTTAACATCAAACAAAGCCTGCCCACACCAGCATGTCCTTTTATCACAACTCCTGGCACTTGTCCAATCAAACACCACCATGATACACAATTCATGTGAAAGCAGCCTCTTGTTTTCACTCCCATCTTCTCGGGGATCTCCATTCTGTTAATGTTCTACACCCTGTACATTTAGGACTTACTATGGGGCGGGGTGGACTTATTCATGGCTTAATATATATTGTTGTGATTTGCCGGTAGCAGGTGCAGATGGCTGAGGTTTTGGAAGGACTCAGTGAGGACTCAGCCTGAGTGAGGACTCAGATGAGGGCCCTGCGTGTGATGCAGGGATGGGGCCAGGTCCATCAGGAAGTGGAATGCTGCCTGTGGACATTGTGGAGGCTGACAGCAGTGATGAAGAGGTCCCCGAGGAGCCTGTGCCCAGTGCCCGTGTGCTCAGGGCTGATCGAAGAGCAGCTGCAGCAGCATGGGCGACTCGGGAGTAAGGCTGCAAGGTAATGGCCACTCCCTTAAGAGATAAAAAGCCAGCTGAGAAACCAGAGTTCTTTGCAGGAAGCAAAGAAGTTTTTGCACTCAAGCCTTGTGGACGTTCAGGCTCTCTTACTTTGTGTTTGGAGACTTTTTATGTTTGGAATATTTCTCGGCAACTTTATCTAGTGTTCTTGGCAGCCTTGCACAACCTTGGCAAGGCTCATTCTTATCAGAGACAATTATTTTGAAACAGCCTTTTAACCGGGAAGGAATGGAATTCGTAAAGAATCATTAAAAGGTTTTGCTGTTATCTCCGTCTGGTGTTTGTTTTCTTGGAACAAGTTGGGGTCAGCATATATATGTCATGGCCCTGTCGAGCCTGAGTCTGAAGAGGAGGACATGACAGAGCTAGGCCCAATGGGAGGAATGACCGGAGGAGCAGGATGAGGCAGTCCTTGGTCCTTCGGGCCTGGGAAAGGTCATCAGTGAGGGAGAGGGGGCACAGAATGACCAGGTGAGGGGGGAGGACAGGGCAGAAGCGGAGCAGAGGAGCAGTGGAGCTCTGGCGACAAGCAATTACCTCCCCCCAATCCCTAAGCATGAAGAATGGAGAGGACAGGGCAACCCAAAGACTTGGGAAATGACATTTAAAGAGACGCTGTTGGGAGGAACGTTTGTCAGGAACATGTGTTGCTTCTTCCAGCCTCACGTGCTGTTACCAATGTCTTGCTGTGGTTTGTCTTGTTTGCCTTGTTTGCCTTTTGAAACACTAGTGGGGTGAGAGTTACGACACCACTTTTCTTATTCTGCAACTGGACTGGTCCTGAACAGGGCGAAATACTCAAAATTTGAATAATTGAGCAGGATTCTGTTTTAAGTTTTTCTTCAAGAAAGTAAATCTTTCTGTATTTGCTACTTATCAAGTTTACAAGCGTTTGGATGAGTGCATTCTTCTGTTATGGTTGCATTGTTTTTATAGTTTAAATAATTTTGTTTTCTTGAGAATCTCACTGAATCGTTGAATTTGGCGCAGAGGTGGTATTCAGCAGGTTCTGACCAGTTCTGGAGAACGGGTAGCGGAAATTTTGAGTAGTTCGGAGAACCAGCACATACCACTTCTGACTGGAGATTTTACATATCCTTCCTTTACCATGCCCACCAAGCCACGCCCACAGAACTGGTAATAAAAAAGTTTGAATCCCACCACTGGTTTGGCGGTGTACAAATTGAATTTAGGAGTCAAAGGAAGGACTTCACATAGTTCAGGCCAAGAACAGATGTAAGGATGGAACCAGGTAAAGCTCATATTTCTAAGAGTTCTCACCTGAGTGGATACTTTGATGGGAAATAAGGGAATTGCTCTTCCTGAAGCCATTCCTACGGTCCAAGGAATTATATGGTTTCTCCCCTGTGTGGATCAGTTTATGAGAACGAAGAGATCTCTTTTCACGGAAGTGCTTTCCACACTCCATACATTTATACGGTTTCTCCCCGGTGTGGATCAGTTTGTGGGAATGAAGAGATCTCTTTTCACGGAAGCTCTTTCCACACTCTGTGCATTTATAGGGTTTCTCCCCAGTGTGAATCCTCTCATGGAGAATCAGGGAACTGTTTTGGCTGAAGCTCTTTCCACATACTGCACATTTATATGGTTTCTCCCCTGTGTGGATCCTTTTGTGAGAAGTCAGGTGACTGATGTCGCTGAAGCTCTTCCCGCAGTCGGCGCATGTATATGGTTTCTCCCCTGTGTGGAGACTTCTGTGTGATGTCAGCTGACTGTTCCACATAAATCTCTTCCCACACTCCACACACTTGTATGGTTTTTCACCCGAGTGGCTCCTCTTATGGGAAATCAGATTCCCGCTTTGGCTAAAGCTCTTTCCACACTCCGTGCATTTATAGGGTTTCTCCCCTTGGTGAATCCTTTTGTGAGAAGTCAGGGATCCATTTTCCCGGAAGTTCTTACCGCATTCCAAGCATTTGTAGGGTTTCTCCCCTGTGTGGATGCTTCTATGGGAAGCAAGGGAACTGCTCTTTCGGAAGATTTTCCCACACTCCGTGCATTTGTACGGCTTCTCCCCCGTGTGGATCCTTTTGTGAGAAGCGAAGGCACTGCTACCCCGGAAGCTCTTCCCACACTCTGGGCATTCGTAGGGTTTCTCGCCGGAATGGCGCCTTATATGGGAAGTGAGGCTGCTGCTAGTGCTGAAGCTTTTCCCGCACTCCGTGCATTCGTAGGGATTCTCCCCCGTGTGGATCCTTTTATGGGAAGTCAGCTGACTGTGCCACCGGAAGCTCTTTCCACACTCCAGGCACCGATACGGCTTCTCCCCTGAATGGCTCCTGGTATGGGAAGTCAGGGAACTGTTCTTACTGAAGGTCTTTCCACACTCGACACATTTAAAGGGCTTCTCCCCCGTGTGGATCCTTCTATGGTAAGTAAGCGAACTGTTCTTGCTGAAGCTCTTCCCGCACTCTGTGCATTTGAAGGGTTTCTCCCCCGTGTGGATCCTTCGGTGACAAGTAAGGTAACTGCGTTTTCTGAAGCTCTTCCCACACTCCATGCATTTATAGGGTTTCACTCCTGTGTGGGTTATTTGGTGGGAAATGAGGGAACTGTTGCTGCTGAAGCTTTCTCCGCATTCCCTGCACCTATATAATAGCTTTTCTTCCACATTGATGCTTCCACGGGTAGAGACAGTCCAATCTGAATATTTTTTTGCCTCCCTGCAGGGATATTTTTCTCCCATCAGGTGGCTCCTGTAAGGTTTGCTTACATCAAATCTGTCTTTGCACGCTTTCAAGTTTCCCCCTGCACATTTTCTCTTCTTTTTTTCTCGATGCTTTTGCTCGGCGAGAAAGTCTTGAGCAGCGGCACATGGGAAAATGGATTTTTTGTTGATTCCCTTGGTGACTTGCTTCCTCACCAAACCTTTTGATCCTGTTTTGTTGGCCAACTTCTTTTTATCTTCCTCTTCTTTGGGATGATGTGTGTGGAATTGCTGCATGTAGTTTCTTTCCTCTTGCCCGTGAGCTCTTTCTGCAGAGAAGAAAGAATGAAAATATAGCAAGGCTAAGGAAAGGTTATAAAAGGTGATTAAACAGAATTGATTGTTTAGTATTTTTCAAGGCTATTCCATGGACCAACATAAGATGACCACTAAGGACAACCAAATACGCACAAGTTCTTGTGTATAAAATCGCAAAGCAGGGACATGAATAATTTCTGTTTTTCAGTACAGTAGTAGAAAAGTTGTAAAAAATTGGAATCTCATATAAACATAGCTATGTATGCTTGCCCAGTTCTTATCTCAAATGTAAAGTACAGGTACTCCTCAACTTAAGACCATTTAGCAACTGTTCGAAGTTACGATGGACCCCCAAAATGTATTTATGACCTAGTTTCAAAGTTCTAATAGCCAGGTCCTCACCTCAAGGTCATTTTGGGTGCTTGGTAACCAGTTCAGAGTTATGGCCATTTGTGGTGTCCCGCAGTCACATGATTGCAATATACATTTTTGCTGAAACACAATTTCCAGGTTTTGGCAAAAAAATGCCTCAGAGTAAACAATGGCTTCACTAAATGACTGCTGCATTTGGCTTAATGACTTTGTGATTTAACATCATGGTTGCAGAGATTAAAAATGAGTGGTGGGTTTTTTAAAGCTCCAATTCTGGGCTTCCATAGAGAAAATCTGCAGTTTCACGCAGAATCTCGAAGCTCTCAATTCATTTGGTGTGTGTGTATGTATGTGTATGTGTCATACAATGCACCTGTCAACTAAAAAAACCCCAGACCCAGTGGTCATAGAGAACCAAACCCATTATGAGGTGCAGCGAATCCTCGATTCGAGGTGGCACAGAAGACAACGCCAATATTTAATCAAGTGGAAGGCTACCCCTTATCAGGGGCATCTTGGATAAAGAGTAGGAACATCCAACCCGATCACCTTGTGACGAGGTTCCATGCAGAAAACCCAACCAAGCCTGGGGAGGGTTCGCAACCCTAAGTCCTATACCTGCAATAAATTTGTTTTATGTGTTGTACAAGTCACCTTCAAGAAGTGAGGGGAGCCGAATGTCAACTAAAAAAAATATTTCTTTGGTCTTTTCAGTTTCCAGTGGAAAGGGAGTTGGGGGAAAGCAGTGCATTCCTTAAATGCTTCAGATAATCGCTTTGGCAACCGAAGCTTCTAGCATGCAAAATTATTACTGGAGAGCATGATTGATGACTCTTGGCAATGGATGTGTCTCATTGGAGAATATACATCCAGGGGGTGGGGGGAAGACTAGGGTCAAGGGTGAAGTGAATGATGTGTCAGAGTCGGCTGTAACCGGGAAATGCCAACATGTCAACTCCTAATAAATCAATCTTTTTTACTCTGAGAGATGTAGCTAGAGACTTATGATTTGAATGGGGGTGCACGTTGGAGTCCTAACAGCACCCTCCTCTTGTGCGGTGGCAGCCAAAAAAGCCAACGCAATCCTAAACTGCATTAACAGAGAGATTTAATTAAGATCAAGTGAGGTACTAATACTACTCTAGTTGTGTTCCAGAACATCAGTAGGCCCATAAGAGGGACATTGGCTCAATATAGATGATATCCAGAAATAATGAGCTGTGGGGATAAGGATATGGAGCAAAAGGTCCTTACCCAGAGAGGCGACATTCTTTGAATTCTCCAGCATGACCTCCCCATGGAGGACTTTCTGATCAGCATCCAGGTGGGACCACTCCTCATCAGAGAAATACACAGCCACCTCCTCGAAGGATACAAGACCCTGAACATTGAAATGAAATGTCCCCATTAAAAAAACCAGGCCAACGAAAGAGGCTCAATCCCAGGAACAGGAGGCTTTCAAAGGTTCCCCTACAACCTGTCGGCTCTTTCTCCTCCTACCTGACTTGCAGGTTCACCTGCTCTTTCAAAGACGGTAGAAAAAGGAGCAGATCCTACAAACACCATGGACGTCATCCCATTGTCTGTAAGGGAGACAAAAGCAATGGAGACTTCAGACAACACTGTTAATAAAACATGGGGAAGATTGTCAGGGTTCCAAGGAACATACCCATAGCAAACAAAACTCGGAGGCAGACAATTTCCACAAAGAATAGATGTCAACTCATAAAAATATGTCTATGGTCTTTTTAGAGTTGCCAATAGAAAGGGAGGGAGGAGGAGTGAAGGCAGATTGCAAAACCAAAACTGCATTCCATAAATGTTTTCATAGTTTCCAGGCGACCGAAGTTTCGGCTGCGCAAAATTCTAACTGGAGAGTATGATTGATGACTCTTGGCTATGGATGTGTCCCATTGGAGAATATGACTTATGATACACCCAGCGGTGGGGGGAAACCAGGGTCAAGGGTGACAATGAATAATGTGTCTAGGAGTCAGCTACACCCAGGCAGTGCCGCCATGTTTATTCCTAATAAATCTTAAATTTGGGAAGTTCGGCTAGAGATTCATGATTTAAATGGGGGTATCTACTGGAGCCCTGACAATAGGTTTATTTATTTATGCATGTCATGGCACAAGCTGGTTGAAAACCGACTCTGACTATTCCCGTGGTTTAATTAAAAGTAAACGCTTGTCACTTTCTCAAACAATCAGTCACATGGTCCGATCAGGATACTGTCCAGTTGCCAGATGACTCCATCCCCCTCCTTCTGAGCACTTGCAGGAATGTCCTTGGTTCCCAAGAGAAATCATTTTGTTTTGACTACAACACTCCAGCTATTTCCCCCCTCCCTATCCCTCTTCTCCAGTGTGTCAGCACTGAAGTCTCAAAATGGCCTCAGTCAGGCCAGCTTCAGGGTTGACAGAGAGATTGCACCAAAGAGTCCACAAAGAATGAAAGATGGAGCTTTGAAGAACTTTCCTCACCTATTGAAGTGTCACAGCGCTGATCTTCCCTGGAGATGCCCCCGAGCTCCCTTCCTTCCTCTGGATTTTCCATGACGGCCTTCAAGAAGCTTCCCTGGCCCTGTTGTATCCCAGGACACAAATAATGGAAAATAATGAAACAGCACACAAAATGAACTGGATTTTCTCATGCTCTGTCCTCAGCTTTGTAACTTAGTCTCTCGGTATTCATCAATGCAGATGAAGGAAAGAATGATCCCAAAATATTTCTGGAAGGAGATACGTTGCCTAAAGAGTTAAACATCTCCTATTGCTTTTGTTCAGAATCGTGAGGTATAGTCCTATGAGAAGCCACTTAGAACTAAGGAGAAATTTCCTGAGAGTTAGAACAATTAACCAGTGGAACAACTTGCCTCCAGAAGTTGTGAATTCTCCAACACTGAAAGTTTTAAAGAAGAGATTGGACAACCATTTGTCTGAAATGGTATAAGGTTTCCTGCAGGGGTTGGACTTGAAAACCTCCAAGGTTCTTTCCACCTCTGCTATTCTATTCTATTCTATTCTATTCTATTCTATTCTATTCTATTCT